TGTGTGTGTGTGTGTGTTTATCTGGACTGGAGATTTGGAACAGAGCCACAACGTAGCCTCAAGACAAACATCATTGTGTCCTCGGCTGACTTAGATCTGTGTGTATCTTTGCTGTGTTTGCTTTTATTTCCGGCAGCTCTCTCATTGCACAGAGGTTGAAACTGTTTTTGTGTTGATTTAACGGTTGGATCGTTGGCCGCAGTTTGTAGAAGCACTGTTGCGTTGTGAAGTTTTTTTTACCTTGCCTCTTTAATTAGGGGGGGGGGGGCAAAATAACACTTTTCTGTGTAGCTCAACACAGTTTTACAGAATCAAATGATCAATTCATTTGAAATAACACTTTCCCCAAAACTGTTAAAACTAAAACTGAACATTACAACCTTTGTAGGTGAAGGTCTGATTTCACTGTTGCTCATGAGTTCTGATCTCCTCAGAGGTGGTGTTATGCAGAGCCTGAATCATTGTGTGGATCATACTTTATTTTTAACAGTAGCTCAACATAGTGGTTGATTTTATGACAATTGACAAAAGAACAACTGTCGGACTACTGTGAATCTAATGATGATAAATGTTTCTGTTTGGTTTGTGCTGTGTGGGATATTTGAGTATGGAATATTTCTTTATAAGTCATTTATCTGATTTAAGGATGCTGCTTGACATGAAGAATTTAACTAGACTGTTCCCTGTCATCCCTTACAACAATATTTATCTTTTAACTGTATATATTATTGGCATCTTGTGCAGTAAAGTTGATGAATTTAATCGGAATTTGAGGGTTTATCGCGTTTATTTTTTATTTTGAAACTATACATTTTCTAAAAAAATGTGAGCTCGTGAGCTTTAAAAGCCGTTTATGGTTTTGTGTGGGTACAGTTGATTACTTCTGTTAAGAAGTTAATCGAACATGCATTTCTAGCCTCTCCATCTTGTCCACAAGTCAATTTCAGGGTTTGTCTTAAAAATATGCTGCTCACTCACAAAGCTCTGCTCAGGGGAACATTTCTCAACTGCTGATTCCTCTCAGCTCTGGAGCTGCACATATTCTGATGTTTTATTCTTAAGATGCATTTTCTTATCATTTTGGTGTTTTTCATACTCAGTTTTATTTAATATCCAAAACAATAACTTCTACGTTTCAAGATTCTAATGGATTTTATCAGTTATATTGACAAACTGCTGACATTTTTGCTACAGCTAATGCTACACTACCGGAAACCACTTCTATGTTGCTGTACAAACACACCATTTATTAATTCCTTCAGTGTCTATGTTCTGTCTATGTGGTATTTCCCAATCTTCACTCTGACTGTATGTGTAACGTTTATTAAAGCATTTGTATTCAGAGGTTGAGCTGCCGAGCTAATCCACCATGAGGTGAACCTTATTACTTTTCTGCAACCCCTTAAAATTGCACATTAATTTTCTGTCTAAATTAAAGGATAACTTTCTAATGTCCTGCTCTCAAAGTCAACACTAAAATCCTCTTCCTCTCCTCTCCTCTCCCTCCCTCTCCTCTTCCTCCCTCTCCCCTTCCTCCCTCTCCCCTCCCCTCTTCTCCTCTCAGGCGATGGCAGTGGGACAAAAAATGCAGGCGACCACATTCAGCTTCACCCACACACAGTGTATCCTCTATGCACTGGGGGTCGGCATGTCGACCAAGGACCCAGAACATCTTAGGTGTGTATTAAAGTGTGTTTGTGCTAATGAGTATAACAGCCTAAAGGGGCCCTGACAAGTCAACGATATGATAACTACACACTTACTGTGGGAGAAAAAACCCCACTATCCAGGCCATCTGTGATAATGAACTGTTCCTATAAAGGTGAGATTTTCTAACATTGTCATGTAGGTACCTGTATGAAGGCCATTCGGACTTTAGCTGCCTGCCCACCTTTGGGGTCATTCCCTCCCAGGCAGCCATGATGGATGGTGGGCTGGCCTCAGTCCCTGGACTCAACATAGATTTCACACAGGTTGGAAAACATACATATTATTCAGAATGCTCTGTGTGTTTGTGTATGTGTGTGACATTGGTATTTATATAAAACATTGGCATATTCCATATGGTATATTTCACGCATTCTTTGACAATAGTAATGCAAACACTGCTCATGCTAATGAGGCTTCTAGACTGTGGAGTGATTAGATATCACAGCTGTTTGGATGTTTTGTGTCAGGTGCTGCATGGAGAACAGTATCTGGAGCTTTACAAACCTCTGCCTACCTCAGGTATTTCATTCTATGCTCATACACTGCTTGCAACTCAATGTAGATTGTACATTATAATTAAATCTATATTAGAGCCTATATATTAGTACTCAGATTAATATATAGCCTTGAAACCTTTCTAGTTCTTTGTTCTAGTTTATGAACTGTGGCATGGTGCTGTCATTTCATGTACAGAGCTAGTTTACTGATATAAGAACATGAAAGATTAAATCATGAGACATAGTTTAAGTGGAAGTAAATGGGTGCAACATATTTTTTTAGGTGAGCTAACCTCTGAGGGGACTGTAGCAGACGTGCTGGACAAAGGCTCCGGAGCCCTCATCCTCTTGGATGGTGAGTTTCTTTGCTTTTTAGCAAACACTTTAATGTCTCTTCATGAAAGTTGCCTGTGAGGCTGAGTTAATGAAAATTAATTTACAGTCTGTGTCTGCAGGGATTGAAATAATGGAATAAGAAGGGCTCATATTTCTATTTGACATTTCCATAGAGATGGATGATATTAAAACCACTCTGATCTATAATTAATCCGTCTTAAAACAAATAACATGGGACCTGACGTTCCCCGAAGAGGAGAAATTAAATCTATATAATTTCTTGACACACACTAAACCAGTCAGCGTCTGTGATCCTCGCAGAGTAAAGACATTCCTGGATATTTCCTGGCACATCATAAAGACACTGCAGATGCAGCTTTGTTGGTCTGTATTCCTGGTGATATTTTGAAGTAATGACACAAACCTGTCGTTACTACAACTTTAATCTGGATTTGATTTCGTCCGACAGCTGCTAATTGTCTCTTCACTGTCCACCTCATGTGGCTGCTTCCTCCTGCTCTAATTTGCCTGTAAATGTGCTGTAATAAAGAAATGAAGCTGCGGCAGGTGTTCTCCTCACTCCTCAGTGTGATTGCCAGGAAAGTCAAACTTATGGACTAATAACAGCAATTTGTTCTCTATTAAGTCAACGTCCCCTGGACTATAGAGTAAACGCAAATTCTGAAACACAATGAAAAATCACATGGAACACATAAAATTCACATCACTAAAATATTTAATGGTGGAATTGAACTACTTTAAGTACAGTTTCACAGTTTTCAGTCATTACATCACTTTACACTTAATAATAATTTTTACCCCACTACATTTATTGACATTATAATTCTTGAGTTCTTTTGTAGCTGAACACAACTCGTTGGTCCTTGGCTTAACAAATGCATTGAATACATTTCCTCCCTCCTAAAACACAATCAGTATGTGCTACAGGCAGTCTTCCTCTTCCTTGGCCTTCGCTGGTTATTGATCAGTGTTGTAGCCTGAAGCTGGATGTGTTTTTGTGGATGCATGTGAGTCCTCAAGCGTGTGCTCAAGATACAAACCAATCAGGGACCTGCAGACAAAGGCACAGGCCGTCGCTTCGAGGGTTAGAGGGTGAGGATGTTAAAAACAAACAGGAACGCCTTATCTCATTGTGTCTAATGCAATTTTATTTGTTGCAACATCAGTATTCTGATCACACATTAATGCTGCAGTAACAATAACCCAAAAATGTGATGATAATAATAAACTACTTACAAACGCCGCTTGGCTGCAAAATTAGTAATAATACTTTAATGTATTTTTACTGTTTGTTTTCTATAAAGAACTTTTTAGTTATTTTGCTCCTTTTACACAAACAAAGGCTCTGAATCCTTTTACAATAAGAAATATAGTCTGAATTCCATTGTTATGCTGTTTTGCAGTGAACACCTACAGTGACGGCCAGCTGGTGTGCTTCAACCAGTTCTCAGTGTTTGTGGTTGGAGCTGGAGGCTTTGGAGGGAAGAGAACCTCCGACAAAGCTAAAGTAACAATGCAATTTACTGGTGAAAATCTAATGAAAATAAGACACTGTAAATATGTTTCCTCATATTTGTGTTTTTGTCCAGGTTGCTCTGCCACCACCTCAACGGGCACCAGATGCTGTGGTGATTGATTCCACCACCAGAGACCAAGTGAGTGTCTGTGTGGGTTTTAGTTGCAGAATAAATCAGCCGCATTGATACAACGTGGGAGGAAACAGGACATATTGTTTTGTACCTCTGTAATAACCATAAAGTTTCAGACAGAATGCATTGTCATAGCAAAGTGTTGAACAAGGTTTTACTGCTGCCTGGGAAAAAAAAGAAAAGAAACAGAACGCTGACAGTGTGTGTGCAGCAGAAAATTAAAAAAACCCAAATCCCCTGAGCGATTTAAATGACTGCAACTGTATCACTTCAAAGCTATTCTTATTTTAAATATCTCTTCTGTTGCATTCATGATAATTTAATTTCATTCCACATTTGTGTATAAAAGTTCAGGGGTTTATGAATTAGATATAGATTGATGTGTGTTTCCCCTGCGGTCACAGGCCGCCCTGTACCGGTTGAGTGGCGACTGGAACCCTCTTCACATTGACCCCAGCTTTGCTGCCATGGGAGGTGAGTGTCAGCACATCTGTGTGGCTTCATGTGTCTTTTTCATTTATTAAATTTCTTAAATGTATGATGTGTAGTTCTTCATTAAAATGTCTAAAACTGAACAGAACCTAAGTTATATATTTTGTTGATTTGTGTACTTACATTCTGTTATTGGTTTAATTGAGGGACTTAAGTTAATCTTAATCCAGGATAAATCTCTGTGACGTGTTTTGATTTCATTTAAACTTAAACCAGCTGCTCTTTGTTCAGGCTTCAAGGCTCCGATCCTTCACGGCTTGTGCTCATTTGGCTTCGCTGCGAGACACGTCCTTAAGCAGTTTGCCAACAACGACCCGTCCAGATTCAAGGCCATCAAGGTGAGTCAGCACTGGGTGGTTTAAAGTCTTCTCTCACATTTCATGAGTCACTGAGCCTCATGCAAGAACCAAATAAATGAACATGAGTGTGGATAGAATGTGATTTAGGGAGTTGGTTTCTGTTCCTTCCATCATCATGACCTGCCAGTGTGCTACAAGGTTTAAAGAGGAATTTAATATTATAGTTATTTTAAATTAATGATCTTTTTTGGCCTTGACAACCTAAAAAGCTGTCTGTGGGGTTTTTATCTGTGTCGTTCTCCAGGTTAACTTCCTCAGTTTCACTTGTCCGAGTACAAAAGAAGTCCTTGTGCTCCAGGCATCAGGTGTGCAGGAGAAAAATTAAAAAACGCAAATATCCTGCACAGTCTCAACACTTGTGAATTTATGAAAAACTACGTTTGATGGAAGCAACCTTCATCGCCCACTGGATGACATTCTCTCATCAATTCCCAGACTGTTACAGCGATTAGTTTTGACAAGATGTTCATATTGAAAATGTGGTGATCGGATGGTCCAGGGTGATAAATACCAGATCTCCCCATCAAGAGAATTGAATGAATCCAACTCTTCATACGAGCAGAGTTCAAAGAATAAAATAACGGAGCTTTAGAGTATGAATGAAAATGTGTCTGCATGACCCCAACTGACATTTTCAGTTTGAAGCTTTTCATTTGTAAGTAGAAACAATCTTTTGGAACGTGGTCACTTCCTGGAGTTCATCTGTCAGGGATTAATACTTGATAAACTAGTTATTATTCATCAAGTTGAATTTTATAAAACCATTTAATTCGAGATCCACTGACTCCACTGTCTTGTCTCTCCCAGGTTCGCTTTGTGAAGCCGGTGCTGCCCGGTCAGTCTCTGCAGACCGAGATGTGGAAGGAAGGCAACAGGATTCACATCCAGTGCAAAGTCAGAGTTCAACCATTTTAACAGATGTGAGGATGAATGAGTCCGAATGTTTCTCCTGTCGTTCTGATCCCTGCTCGTCTCCTCGGTCCAGGTGAAGGAGACAGATGCTGTTGTGTTGTCAGGAGCTTACGTGGATTTACATCCTGCGTCCGATGCTTCTCCTGAAAACCTCAGTCAAGTAATTTGATCAACAATCCTCTTGATTTTCTTATTTTCAGATTCTGTCATTTGTTCTGTGGCAAATAATAACAATAGCCCATTTATGTTAAAGTATCAAATCTCATGACAAGTGTGTGTGTGTGTGTGTGTGTGTGTACCTCCATGCAGGGAGCAGGACTTCAGAGTGAGCTGGTGTTTGCAGAGATCGGGCGTCGCATCAAGGACCTGGGCTCAGAGTTGGTGAAGAAGGTGAACGCTGTGTTCGGCTGGGAGATCACTAAAGATGGCAAGAACATTGCACAGTGGAGTAAGTGCTGCACAAACACACAGCACTGGTTCAGGGTCAAGACGATGAGCCACCGCCTCGACCTGTAGAGAAGTAATGTTGCTTTTCCAGGGTTCCTCTCTACGAGGCGGCTTCTTATTTTCAAATGTGGGGAAATTAAAGACATTCCTTGATGTCTGTCACACGTCTTCAATTTGATTCACTGCGTCTCGAATTGAACTTGTTGAAACCCTGAAACTCTTTCATGCAAACTTGAAAGATCTCCGTCTACGTATGTGTCTTCCAGAATAGGATTCTATGGATTTATTGCAGAATTAAGCTTCATGAAACCAAAAAATATAAAACGGTAAGGACAGAAATCGAGCTACTGGGAGCCTGAAGGGACTTTATGGTACGTCAGGATTAAGAGCATTTATCATGTGGATTTCATTTACATGTGATAATTCAGTACTTCACTTTTGGAAACATGTTTTTCAGCCAAGAGGGGAGAAAGTTCTATGTACGCTCATGAATTAAGCTCTGTGTTCCTCACTGCAAATTCAAAATTCCACACAGACAACTCAGTGAGAGAGTCAGGACAGATTCTGGAAAGGATCAGTAACACCTCAAACCTCCTGTTCGTTGGTGTTTTCCTCTGCTCAGGTCTAAACACGTCGTCAGTCGTCCGCGCTGCTCTCGTGCTCAGGAATCAGTCAGAAAATGTGATCGGCTCTGACACCGGCTCGTGAAACAAAGGCTGAAATACGAGTGTGAGCTGTAAAGTCGACAAGATAATTTGACCCAGAATGACATTTTGCTAACGAGCTGGCAAACAAACCATGAAAACTAGGACAAGATCTGAGCTAATGACCGAATAATAACTCCAGAGCCGGAGTGAGCTGTGGAGGCGAAGCAGCGAAGCCCGGCCGACCCGGGGAAAGTGAAGCGTTGTCAGCTGTTTGTGATTTCATCATCCATCTCTGTGTTTTTCTTCCCTCCTGCTGTCGTCCTGTAGCCATTGATCTGAAGAACGGCAGCGGCTCCCTGCATGAAGGCCCTTACAGCGGGAAGGCAGACGTGACCATCACGGTGTCAGATGAAGACTTCATGGAGGTGGTGCAGGGGAAACTCAACCCTCAGAAGGTGAGAGACGGGAAGCTGCTCAACACATCCTACATCTACATGCTGTGCTGTGAAGGAACTTGTCTGTGTCCATGTAAATCAGAAATACTTAATTGATCACTGGGGAAATTGGGTTTCAAAACAGTTTCTCCAATCAATAATAGAAATGCATACCGACCTAGAGAAGTATATACATATAGATATATGATATATGTGTGAGGACAGGAGGTATTTACAAAATCTGTGCATTTTACTGCAATTTACATAGAAAACATTTTAAAGAAAGTTTTGCAAAACAGACACAAAAAGACGCTGACGTGACGAGTAATTCAAAATCAAATGTCGTATTTTATTAACCGTCTTCTGTTCCTCGAATTAAACTTCCTAATTAAAGCAAAAGTGTCTTTGAAAGACGTTTTAGATCTGGGATGAGTCCTCGCTTGATCTCATCATGTCATAGAAAAAAAAAAGGAAGGCAGCGATCTATCAAACCGAGTTCAGAAAGCTCTCGGTGGGGGGGTGATCAATCCACGCTGCTTAATATGTAGCATCTCGTCTGTCGCAGGAAGTGCCCGTCACTGTACAGAATTTATGTGCTTCCTGGAGCCCTTGATATTGATCTGAGGCTTGTGTGTGTTGTGTGTGTGTCTTTCTTCACAAAGTGTGTCAGTGCTGCAGATCCCTCAGGCAGGGTCTTTCCCCGCCGCTCCGTCGATGAAAGATCAGTTGGTGGAATTGAAAGCGACGCTGCCGACTGTCAGCGAGAGTCGTCGTAACCGCGCTCGCTTGATTGATTTTTAAACTGAGAACGGCAGCGCTCATCGTCAGCGTTCAGCTCGTCATTAAAGAGACTTTACTGCCCCCCCCCCCAGCTGTAAACCAATACCAATTCATTTTTCTGCTGCTAAAGCAACAATGGCCGTGTTCTCCCTTCAGAGTCCAGGCTTGTTGCTGTTTGGTTTGTGTGGTTTGTTCTGGCTGTCTTCACCCTGTGTACTTGAACAATTCACAGATGAGTTAGGAAGGAGGGGAGACTTTGTGAGGAATCAAGTGTGTGTTTGTTGTGTTCGTCAGGCGTTCTTCTCTGGCAAGCTGAAGGTGAGAGGGAACATCATGCTGAGTCAGAAGCTGGAGGTCATCCTGAAGGACCACGCCAAGCTGTGAGCCGCTCAGCCAAGCACAGCGATGACTTCAGGAGCGAGCGACCGAGCGACCGACGCTCTCCGTCTGTCCGCTTCTACTGTCCCGTCCTGTGTGTGCTTCCAGGATCTGACCCAGTAAGATTAATACCTCCTCCTCACCGCAGACATGAGACATCGATCAGATAGGAAATGTCATTGTAAGACATGGATACTGAGAAATGCAAAAGATTTTACTACTTTTTAATTCAGCTATTGATAATTCACATTCTAAGATCCACAGGAAATCAGACCTCTTTCATTTGTTCTCATTGTTTATTTTTCTAAATCACTGTTATGAGTCTATCGGCCAGAATAGGATTTATTCTTGTATTAATAAAAACTAACTGTGACGGAATCTTGCCTTTCATAAGTTTAATGTTCTGAGTGAAGTGATGATTAAAATCTAAATTGATCGTAAATAAATTATTTCACGATGACTTATTCACCAAACCACTACTTCCATGTACCTGATACTGTAACAACAGAATCTTTGAAATGTAAAATAATATCTATAATAATTTCATTGTAATATTGATCTCTCTTATGAAAATAAACTAATTCAGAACCCATTTCTGTTTGATTCTTTATAAATGAGAACTTTAAGAAAACAATGTATGAAATGTGTGAATGTTTCTCAAACTAGCGAACCCTCAGAGATTTATCAGCCGGATCTGCAGCTGAGTTTTGGTTCGTTCTCACCGCTCTTGAGTTTTGTTTGTCTGCAACAGGAAGCTCGTTTCTCCAGAGAAGCTCTAAAAACCCGGAGAACACGACCAGGTCAGCAAACAAACAAACAAACAAACACAGTGAGACGCTGGTGAACATTTCAGAGCACTGTTTCATGAAACCATCAAACATCCATGTTTGATAGTTGCTCGTTTTTTTAAATGACGAAACACACCTGCTCATGTTGCATGGTTTTTTATTACATTGGTACATTTTCTGTTTATAATACATTGATTTACACGTTATCTTCATTATAAAATTAGAATCATCTGATCAAATTCACATTTGTAAGATTGAAGAGAGAAAAAAAGGGAAGAAGTTTCAGTAATTTTTGATTAAGCCGAGAGGAAATTAAGAAGCAGGATTTGGTTAAAAAATAGATTTTATTCTCCAGTTTTCGTCGGAGCGCACGTGGTTTTATTTTTGATAAAATGGATTTTATTCTCTCATCATCCTCCGACCACTTTGATTCGTGGGGGAAACAAAAATCACAATCTTGTTGTTCAAGCTCACAAAAACTAAAACATAAGAAAAATAGAAAAAAAGAGAAATGTAAATAATCCAATAAGAGAAGTAAAAGAGCAGGAAATGAGATCACATCTGCCTTTTGATCAATTAGTCTATAATCCTAAATATGCACATGTTCCATAAATATTTGTATAGAATTATATTCTTCATAAAGTGGCTTCTGTCGTTATTAGCTACTGTTTATCTACGACTAGTCGTTATTAATACGCAGTTTATATGAGAAGCCTCGTTTGTAGATCAATGTATTTACACGACTGCAATAAATCTGCTTCATCTAAAAGCTTTTCCTCAGTTTATCCTCCCTGAAATCAAAGCGACTGTACATGTGTTTCCCTACAGCAGCACAACAGGAGCCTGTGGGTCGTTTTAACGGATTGTTATTACGCTCCTTCACGCTTCACTGCTGCAGTTACACCGGCCGAAGTTACACTTTCCCAGCAGGAGCTGAAGGCGACATGCTGCGTTCGGATAAGAAGAAAAAAAAAAAAGAAGTGATATTGTTGTGACTTGTTCCAAAACAAGTGAAAGTCAAACCAGATAAAGTTTAATAAAGTGAATATTACTTCAAGAAAAACGTTTGGGAAATGAAAGTTTGGAGTTGATGAAAGATGCGTCGTAATTGGAATAAAACATTTGCACGACATGATGACAAATCCGTTAAAACCCCGAACCCCGTTCATTGTCCACAGCAACACATCCCGCTTCGTGTTTATGAGTTTAATATCCAACATGTCAAAACAGGAGAAGGTGGTACTCATGGTGTCCCACTAATCCAACTAGAACCTCAAACTAAAGCTAATTTGTGCAACTTAACTTATCAGTAATGATCAATAGTATCAGGACCAACAGCAGCAGCAGTTGTTGGAGAGTAAGGACACTTAATAATAATGATAATAATAATACCACTTATTAAATCTAGGCCAGGAGAAACACACATCCTACTATAGATTGTAATATTATGACTGACTGCTTTATCCAGCCTTGTACTTATCTGCATCACAATACATTGAATTTAGCTTAATTCTGATGTGCAAAAAGGAGAAACGGTGCATGAATGTTAGAAACACTGGGCGACGGCACATTTGTAAACCTGCATCAAATCAAGAGACATTTTGGAAAATACGTTTTCGTGTCTGTCGTAGAAGCTGAGAAGACTGACGCTGTTAGAAAGAAGCTAAAGCTGCAGGTTTTATTTCAGTCGGGTTTTTCTTTCACAGGATCGGTGAAAACTGATTTGGGAGGATTTTTATAATCTGGACTACTTCAATTTATATATTTTCCAAAACATTCATTTGATCTCCAGGGAGGTGGAGACACTGTGAGGTAAGAGTGACGGGTGCATGCAGATGTTCTGAAAACAGCAGCAGTTCGATTATGATCATCTGCTCAGCACTGACGGACTCCGCTCCAAGTTACTATAAAATTCTTTCTGCACCAAAGCAGCGTAACTCAAATCTTCACATTGTTAGATTTAGTACAAGTCACAAATAAAACTGAAATCATGAAAATCTTTCTTGGGTTTTTAAGAAGTCGTCAATGCATCCAAAGGTTTACAGAAAGCAGGAAGTGCCACTTGAGAATTTGGTGTGATTTTAATTTTGTAAAATATAAAAACATACACCCAAAAAAAATAGGGCTCGTGTCGTGGCTCATTCCATCACAACATGAAACTGTTTCCAGAACAGCCGAGGTCAAAGGTCACATCTGCTCATGTCAAATGAAAACTGAGCTATATAAATTGTGATGTCGTGAACTTCTAGGTGCAGATTTTGTTACATCACTGCAGAGCTAAGCTAACTGTCTTTATGCTAAGCTGAGCTGAGCAAAGCTAAGCAGCTACCGACCGTAGCATCGCACAAGCACGAGTGGCATCAATCTTCTCATCTATCGACTCCCAGAAAGAAAAGGTGAAACTGCACTTTTAGTTTTAGGAAACATTATGTGTCTCATAAAATCTAATTTGTTCATTTCAACTCAGGCGTGAAAAGCACGTCAGCCACATGAGAGTGCGACAGAGTCACCGTGATATGAAACTGACGTCCTGTGATTCCTGTAACAGCCGATCCTCAAACTGAGCTCGTTGTTCGTACGAGGGCACGAGAATGTGTCTGGAGCGAATGTGCTTTGTACGATTGTCCACTGGTCTGGCGGCTGCATTGTGCTGAGGTTCAGGTTCGGCAGTGTTGTACCGTCTCCAGACGTTTCGTCCCGTTAACGGGCTCATGTATCTGTGCGACGCTCCGCCTGCAGTCTATTGTATCGACTGAGCGCTCGAGCAGTGATTCCAGAAGAGCTTCCTCTATCGCCAAAGCTTTACTAACATGAACTAAAGAGAAGCTGAGGCTGTTTGAGCAGCTCGGACTCTTCGGCTGCTTCCTGCTCCTACAGCTTCACTTCCTGTGCAAATAAAGGCGCCGTGTGTGTGCTCGTCCGCAGACGCTGAAATGGCAGTTTGTTTGGGAGAATCTCCTGCTGGGTCATTTTTATTCTGACTGAATGTGCCCTCAAGTCTTTACCCTGTGCCCACTTTAACTTCCACGACAGTTTGAAACGTGTGTTTGGTCGAGCGTGACGCTAAGTTCCACACAGAGCAACAGATGAGTTCATTTCACTCTCAGGGAAAACCTGAATCAGACAAAACACTCTCACGCTGTCAAAGTCTTCAAACCCGAAGAGCATTTCTTTCTCCACGAAAGTCTTTCTTCATTTAAAACCTTTTCCTTGTTTCTGTCTCGGCCTCGTTCCCCCAACGTGAACCCATGTTCAGGTGTGAAGGAACTTTTCATGACAGTTCCAGAAACTTTGCTCCATCATAAAACCGACTTCACATTATTCAGTTCTGTTTCCGTCTATATGATGAATTTAACATCGTTCTTGAGGTTGCCGTGGTTGTTGTTGTTGTTGCTGACACTGTAGCGGTTGGGGAGGACCCTCAACTTCATGGTCCCGTCGGCGCCGCAGGAGAAAATGTGTTTGGCCGGCCCCACCTCGATCTGCATGACGCCCGTGCCGAGGTTCCTGAACAGCGACTGGCGGGCGTGCTCATTTGGAAACGAGAAGAGGAGACACTGCGTGGCCAGGCTCCAAACCTGAGGGGAAATAAAACAACTTAATACAACTCAGAGACAGTTTATGTGGTGAAGATCCGTCAGATGTTTTAAACAACATAAAAGAAAGAATCGTGATGCTCGAAACTAAATCCTCTGAAAAGACCAGAACTGAACACGTCTGTGTCATCACTGTCTGTTCTGATCTATTCTTTGTGTTAAGGGCACGTCTCTAGTGACGTCAGAGTCTGTAGGTCAGTCGTTCTACCACCTTGGTCCTGGATAGAAATGCTGCCATCTTGGCACCGATCGGAAGATGGAGCCGCTGCATCAGCCTTGGAGGAGGCGGGGTTTATGACCTATGCTGCAGCAAGCAACCAGGGGCCATTGAGACGCTTTGGCTTCACTTTTGTGGAGCGGTCATGTCGTCCATCTTTATACACATGTAATCAACTATTGGATGTTTTGCCATAAGATTCTGTAACTGCATGGTTTATTAATTATGTGTTTATTCAGCGTTTATTTATAATTTATGATTTTAGGATTAAAGAACCGATGGAATGGAATTGAATCTACAACTTGATTGAAAACATAAGAATAAAGTCCCGATCTGTTCTTTAAGGACTGAAGTCTCTGAACGATCTGGTCTGAGTGACAGACAGTGTTGATGATATAAAGTTGCTGCTTTGCTCTCTTCACATAATTTGTTGACGGTAAAAAAATGTGCTATGAGCTCTGTTATCGTTCAAGTTAATTCGCCCCAGAACAACTTGGAACTTGTGAACACGAGATGAGCGTCCACTGAGATCCATGATTAGCTCTGAGCAACTTGCATTGTTTGATTCCTGTTCCCAGCCTGGGAGCTTTATTATTTGATAAGGTTCTTCATAGACTTCACTCTGTATATATAAGTTAATCTTCCACAGGCTCTAATCAAACTCTTTAAAAGCTTAGAAATTCGCAGCGCACCACATGAAATTTTCAGTTGGCCGCTGTACAATTAACAACTTGAGATGAGTTACCATCACACGCAGCTTTGGAGGTTTTTCTGAGCAATCATGCAGAACCAAAGCTGTTTGAATTTCAAGCAGATGTTTCACTACAGCATTCCCAAAACATCTGCGTGACACGGTGGCTGGTCGGAGTGACAGCTGAGCGATCTGTCCAGACATGTTCAAGTCCAAACATTTAAACATATGAATTATCTAAAGATGGTCACAGTCAAAACATTTCAGTCTAAATCTTTCATACGATTGTTCTGAGCAGCTGCTTTATCACAAGTGTGCTGGTGTTTTCTCGTGACCTTAGCTGCTTTCCTGAAATTTCATGGAGGGGCCCCGTGAGAACGCCAATGGAGCCAGTTGCTCCAGATATTAAAATGTCGCAGTGAGCTCACGTGACAATGCAGCCAGAAAATATCTGGAAAACTCACAGCGAGTGAGTGAGTGAGTTATTTTATGCAAAAGTCAATTAAAGCAAATATCTCAGCATGAAGAAGACGTGTCATAAAGTAGAAGACGCAGACTTGTCAACTTGGGCCGACGCAGGTGTCGACGCCACAGTGGAATTTATACATCATGTCCTGCTGCTCCAACCAGACGCCACCTCCCCCCCGAACGTTCTGTAAATGTTCATATTGTTGTGAACTAATCTGACCCAGACCATCTCCTGCTGCACGCTTCACATGTGGAAGGGTCTCTGTCTCCACGGTTGAGTGCGACAGTTGATGTGCAGGAGACAGGAAACATTCACACCTGGGTGCAGGACTGCTCTGTCCGGGATGTGTTCACTTTGTGCAGCGAACACCATCGTAGCTGCTTTAACCTTGTAAAAGTTATGAGAAGTTTTTTCCCTGAAAAAGTCTCTTCAGAGTGAACTGACCTTGAAAGTCATCAACAAACATGATTAAATATTCATATTTTCAAAAAAAGTATCCCTCAAACTCCCCTATCCTTTTCATGTAGTACTACTCTGGTACTTTTCAGTTATGTCTTTAATTGATTCATGAACATGGGGATGAAAAATAAAAAAGTTCAGTGAGAATACCTTGATGTTGCCCTCAGCTGATCCACTGATGAAGCAGTCCTCAATCACATCGACGGCCAGAGCTTTGACCGGCGAGTCATGGGCCTGGAAGCTCTGACGCTGGTGCCTGTGGGGAAGCTCGAGGACACTGATCCAGCCTTTCCTCCCGCCTGTGATAAGCAACTGCTGTCGGGGAGCCATGGCGAGCACGGTGGCGCCGGACTCGTGGCAGCAGAAAGCTGAGAAGGATGAGAAACAGGACGAGACGTAGAGGATGAAATGAATGGAAAATAAACGTTTTTCATTATTGATTATAATGCCAGTTATTTTCACATTTGGTCAATGAAATATCAGGAAAAAGACACATTCAAATATGTCTTGTTTGACCAGCTATTAAAAACCTAAATATATTTGGATAGAGTACTGGGAAAACTAGCACATCTTTACATCTGAGGTTGGATACATGAGACTCATCAGGTCACTGTGACCTTTGAACACTGAAATCTAATCATCTTGAGTTTCAAGAAGCCTAAAATATTTTTTGTGCAGCCAGTGACCTTGACCTTGACCTTGCAAATCGAATCAGTTAATCTGTGAGTCCAACAGAAAGTTTGCACCAAATTTGAAGAATTTCCTTCAAAGCGTTCTTGAGATATGTTGGAATGAGAACGACAGACAACCTGAAAACAAGATGCCTCTGTCCACTTGGCATTTTCAAAATTTAACTTTAACAATCAAATGATGATCAGAATTGCTGTAGATTCATTTCTACTTGATTAAACAGTTTCAGAGCTTCAGATGTCGACACTGAGCTGAGTCCTCAGAGAGGTTGTCTTTTTCTTTTTAACTGTGTCTTACCATGTGCGAGGCTGTTAGCAGGAGTCACCAGAGTGTCCCACAAACACACGTTCCTGTGAAGTCAAAAATAACCATATAACTGTCCACATTCCAACATTTGAATCACAGTACATCATTACTCCTGTTGGCCACAGCACAGAGAAAGTTAAATGGCACAGAATTGCAAGGGAAATGTTTTGAGGACTGGAGCCAAAATTCCACATCTTTTTTTTTTTTACCTGTTGTCTGTTGAAAGACCTGCAGTGGCGATGAGGGAGGAGGAGCCCACAAAGACAAAGTCATGAGCCGTCTTGTTGTGGCACTGCAACGTCTGGCAGACAAGTTGGATGGTTAGTAAAAGTGACAGTAATCGAGACGGAGGAGGAGAAGAGAAAGAAAAGATTAGAGAGACAGGAAGAAAACAAAAGGAAACCAAGGTGGAAAAACATTCTGGGAAAAAGAAAAGCTATCAAACGAATGAGCTCTTCACATTTCTTACCAGGAATGGTTTGGGTGCATTCCCACTTGTATTGGTCTGCCAGAGACTCAACCCTCCATCACCATCTACGATACCGAACTACACAAACATTCAGAGAGCAGAGATGAGAGTTAACATCAGACACACAGAAACACATCGTCCTCTGTTTGCACACAACTGAGAACCATCATTCCCTTCAGGTGATTTGCTCAAATTACTTTCCCAGAAAAAATGTCAGCGGCCTCATAAGATCAAAGCACCGCTTACATAACTACAGTCAAGAGCTCGGCATTGTCCTGTCCAACCAAATGTTTTTAAAGCGTATTTAACTCCTGGTCAGAGGCAGAGAGGGTGGTACTGGCACAGGAGCGGCACCATCTGAGAATATTATTAGCTCGAGGCGAGTGCCCGAGGTCAGAGCGATGAGTCACTCAGTTGAAGAACAATGTGTGCTGAAGCCAAACATCCCGCTGCGGCTCATGTCTGGTTGGTAAGGTTGTGAGCGGACTTGTAAAAAACGTTGTTCAACCCGACAGGCGCACATCACGATGCAGTCTGCGGAGCTAAAAATAATCTGACATGCGCCGGTGACGGACTATTCTCAGCCAAGCTCTGCTTTGTAACCTTGTTGCCTTGGTGGTTGAATCGTATCCTGGTGACTCTGGAGTTGCCAGGACTTCTGAAGCAGATGATTTGCTGGGAGTGACCCCACTCGAACATCCGCACGCTGCCATCCTGAGCCCCCGTCAGGTCTGTTCGACGGGAGAAGAAAAAACGTGAAATCAGTTTGGCTCATTTTCCTCTGGCCCCTGCAACAGGTTTTGGCATTTCTTTGTCCCAAAATGATGAGTTTAATAATTCATGAAGGAATCATTAAACTGCACATGCTTCACCAAACCTGACTTCTGACAATCAGCATTCAAACGCCTCACAAGTGAACCCCCACTCTGCAGTTGAACTGAATAAACAACAGACTGTGGGGCTCACTCATCCTTTTTCTAAATCAACAGCAGAACTGAGACCAGAGGAAAGAAACTTTGCCTCTTGCTAAAGATCTACACAGGAGAACCTTTATCGGCTGATGTAATCATCCCCAGAAGCCTCTTCTCTTTTCTAACAGAGAAAACATGATGTCTTGATTAAACATTTCATTTATCTAATCCACTCACAGATATTTTACTTACAGTAAGGCAGCGTGGGATGCGAGGTCATTCTTCTCACATTATTGATATTTCTCTTGATCATCTGGGAGAAGTGAAGAGGAGGAAGAGGAGGAGGAGATTCTTACTGAACTTCAATATGGAGAACAGTCATATTTTACATCAGGGACACTGTACACTGCTGTACAACAGGAGGGAGTAACAGAAAGTTGCAGTTCTACAGCCCTTTAACAGACACTGAAGACTACGTGTTCATGTTGTAGTTTATTATGTTATTAGTTTATTCAGGGCCATGACAGAAAAAGACGTGTATGAGAGAGGAAGCAGAGTTAGAAAGTAACAAAGGTTGTTCTGTCATCATATATAGAATAAATAGCATTGACAGCTCGGTTACTGTTTTCAGTCCTGTATTATGACTGGAGGCCAAGATGGCAGACAATGTTTTCTACAATTATCTCTCTTTCCACATCACACTACGGCTCGTCAATAACCCCCGAGCTGCAGAATCTGCTACAACTAGTCTTCTCTCGTTCCAAAGGATCTGTTAATAAATAAAATAATGTTCACATACAAGTTAAGGTATGCAAGGCTGGATGGCACAGGGGTTGCATTTAATTTTCTTCAAGGTGAATTTACCAGGAAGTTGGGG